TGCCGCCAGTGCGCCGTGGTATCCAGCTCGGGCCAGATGCTGGGTTCGCGGCTGGGCAAGGAGATTGACCAAATGGAGTGTGTGCTGCGCATGAACCAGGCCCCCACCAGTGGCTACGAAGAGGACGTGGGGACGAAGAGCAGCATCAGGGTCGTCTCACACACCAGCATCCCCTTGCTCCTGAGGAACCAGTCCTACTTCTTCAAGCAGTCCCGGGACACCATCTACGTCATCTGGGGGCCCATGAAGAAGATGAGCAGGGAAAAGGTGGGGATGACCTACAGGACGCTCCGGGAGGTGAAGGAGATGTACCCCAGCCTGCAGATCTACACGCTGACCGAGAGAATGATGGCTTACTGTGACGAGGTCTTCCAGAACGAGACGGGCAGGAACAGGTGAGCAGGCTCCTCCCTTCCAGCCTGGAATGTCCCAGGGCCTCCAGCTTTCCATCTTGAGGAAGCAGGTCAGCAGTGATTTGTCCTTGGCTTGGAAGATGAATGGGGGTTCCATCTGGTTCCTGGTTGTCTCCATCTCCTTTGGCAGTGCTAGCGCCCCTGCTTGGCACAGACAGCAGGGAGTCCGAGAACTGATGACTGATCTCTCCTCTGACCTACGCAGGGAGCAGCCTGAGAACACCTGCCTTGCTGCTGCTGGTCCCAGACCCGATGTAGATGGACAGGGAGCATCAGTGTCCAAAGCTGTCAGTGCAGCTTAGTTCACGCATCGAGACTACAAGCAGATTTTTTAAAAAGCGGCTCGCTTTTTCGAAACAGTCTAGACGCTCTCTTTTGAAAAAGCAGAGTTTGCATTCAGTACCGCCTTTTTTCAAAAGAGTACTTTCAAAAAGGCGTTATTCCTTGTCAAATGAGGTTTACCACGATCGAAAAAACTGCCACGTTCTTCCAATTTACTTTCAAAAGAACGCAGCTTCAGTCTAGATGCAGGTGAAGTTTTTTAAAAAAGGGCTATTTTTTTCGAAAAAACCCTGTTGTCTAGACAAACCCTAGGAGACTGGAGTGGGAGGGGGTGGGAAGAGAGAGCCTCCAAAACCACATGCACCCTCTGTTGCTGGCGTTTCCTTCCCCTCTCCTGGGTTAGCCTGGGATTGAGGTGGTTTCCCCTGCCTTGATTGCTAAGGCCATTTAAAGAGCTCATTCCATAATTTATGACAGTCAGCTTGTGTCTGGGCTCATTAACATAATTTATGACAGCTGCAAGCTGATTGGCCAGTGTTGCCTGTTCTTGATCAGGGGGTTGTATTCATGTCCTCCAAGGGAAAGTCAGCCTTTAGTTAGCGGCCGTTCCCCGGGAAACCCATCGGGCAGGCCACAACCTTTAATTCTGGAAAAGATGCATTTACTGATAAAAGTTTTTTAAATACAGTTTAATGTATCTGGTCTCAAATGTTCTGATAACATGGTCTGGGTTTTGTTCTGGCAGGAGGGAACCCTAGTTCCAAGGTCTTCACAGTCCAGCTTCAGCTGAGACCCCATCAGCTGTTTCCAAGGGCTGAGGCCTGCGCCTGGCTCTCTCAGGTGCTCACTGAGGCGCACCTGATCTGGCCAAACATCGACACCTCTGGGGAGCTGGGTGCTCTCAGCTCAGCAGGATAGGGCCCAGAAGGAGATGGAGTCAGCTGGGGGATCTGATCGGCAGAGGACTTGGCTTCGGTGGGGCTTCTGCTTTGGTAGCCAAAGAGCCCATCTTCCTCCCCATCCTGTTTTTCTTCTTGTTCTTTCATCCTCACGCAGAGACTGTACCCAAGGGCCTGATCACACCCAGTGAGTCCCTTAGGATACGTCTGCACCACAGAGGAAGAGTGAAGCTGCTGCTGTTGATCTTCCAGGGTTCGAATTAGCGGTCTAGTTAAGACAGATAATTTGAAGTGGGTCGATGCCGATAACCCTGCTTTCGTGAGGAGGAAGGGAAGTCAAAGGGAGAGTGTTCTTCCTTCGACTTCCTGCAGTGCGGACAGCGCCTAAAGCTGAGTTAAGCTACTTCGACTTCAGCTATGCAATTCATATAGCCGACGTTGTGTATCTTAATTCGCCTTTGTCCTGTAGTGGAGACGTACCCTTAGTGTGCCCCCCTCAGCCAAAGCAGGATGTTCCTTGCTAACCCCTCTTGGTCTGGGACATGAGTCCCTCCCATAGTCCATGTCCATCACTCTCTCTGCCATGCCGGATATGGCAGCCTGTCCCCTCCCACTCTGTTGCTGTGTGATTTGCAGAATGACATCTGGCTCCTTCCTGAGCACTGGCTGGTTCACCATGATCCTGGCAATGGAGCTGTGCGAACAGATCTTTGTCTTCGGCATGGTCAGCGCTGGCTACTGCAGGTATGGAGGGAGGCTTTTGCCACAAAGCACAAGGCAGCAGAAATATCCCAGCACATTCTTCTGTTTGCGAAAGCGTCACCCGCAGGACAATACAATACACCTTCCACCCACTCTGGCTCCAGAGCAGTCTTCCCTGTAAGCTGAGCGCTTGGGTGGCTGCCCAGGAGAGATTCAGGTGTTGTGCAGCTGATTGGCAGAGCGCCCACAGCTGGGAGCTTGTGTTTCTATTGGTGATGCACAGCTGCACGTGATTCTGTGCACACAAAATGTATTCTGCACGTGGATGGAACAAATCAGAGGGAGCTAAGACTTAGCCAAGTTCAATAACAAATGCCAGCATGAGGAGGGGTGTTTTAGGTGTCTCGGACAATGCAGAAAATACATGAAGTAGACAGATATGGGGAGGCTGCTTCAAGCATCAGGAGTTGCAGAAAAGAAGGTCCTTGTGCCAGCAGCGATGAGATCAGAGAAGGAAGAGGACAAGGCAGGTGCTGGAGTCTGAGCTGGGGGCAAGTTCATGAGGAATATTTATAAGCAAGGAGGCAGTTTGGAACAGGACCCCCAAAAGGACCAGGGAGCTGGGGACCCTAGCTGTAGAGGTGACATGGTTCTGCTTTGTGTGAAGCCCACACCTAGTGGAGTCTGCAGAGCTGGGGTGCAGTAAGACTATGGAGGAAGGGTGTGATGGGTATGGAGGCCCAGGGCAGTGAAGAGGAGGATGTGGATTTCAGGGCCAGGCCTGTCACAGGATGAAGCTCTTCATTTATTCAGCACCCCTGGCTTCATCTCCTGGGGCAGGTTTGGTCCCTGTGGAAGATCTGCTTGTGCTTTTCCAGCCTAAAGGGGGGGGTTATACACTGAACTCCTAGCTAGACATGAGAATCCCCATGACTATGACTCGTGCTCTGTGCCCCCAGTCATGTTGCCCAGAGATGCCTGATGCTGAATAGATTTCTGTGGGGTTACTAGACTGGAAGCTATCTTGTGTGGTCTTCCCATCCCTGCTCTGCCATCTTGGCTTTGCCCTGCTCAGACTCCAGCACCCAGGGGCGGATATAGGGCAGGGTGAGCGGGGGGCCCCGTGCTTCAAGAAGCCCCGCGCATGCGCCGTGGCACCACCACGCATGCGCCGTGTCAAAGGGGGGGCCCCGTGAAATTGTGCTGCCCTGGGCCCCGCAAAATTGTCATCTGCCCCTGCCAGCACCTGCCTTGGCTGTGCCCTGCTCAGACTCCAGCACCTGCCTGTGTCCCCTTCCGTCTCTGATCTCATCGCTGCTGGCACAAGGACCTTCTTTCCTGCACCTCCTGATGCTTGAAGCAGCCTCCCCATATCTGTCTACTTCATGTATTTTCTGCATTGTCCGAGACACCTAAAACACCCCTCCTCATGCTGGCATTTGTTATTGAACTTGGCTAAGTCTAAGCTCCCTCTGATTTGTTCCATCCACGTGCAGAATACATTTTGTGTGCACAGAATCACGTGCAGCTGTGCATCACCAATAGAAACACAAGCTCCCAGCTGTGGGCGCTCTGCCAATCAGCTGCACAACACCTGAATCTCTCCTGGGCAGCCACCCAAGCGCTCAGCTTACAGGGAAGACTGCTCTGGAGCCAGAGTGGGTGGAAGGTGTATTGTATTGTCCTGCGGGTGACGCTTTCGCAAACAGAAGAATGTGCTGGGATATTTCTGCTGCCTTGTGCTTTGTGGCAAAAGCCTCCCTCCATACCTGCAGTAGCCAGCGCTGACCATGCCGAAGACAAAGATCTGTTCGCACAGCTCCATTGCCAGGATCATGGTGAACCAGCCAGTGCTCAGGAAGGAGCCAGATGTCATTCTGCAAATCACACAGCAACAGAGTGGGAGGGGACAGGCTGCCATATCCGGCATGGCAGAGAGAGTGATGGACATGGACTATGGGAGGGACTCATGTCCCAGACCAAGAGGGGTTAGCAAGGAACATCCTGCTTTGGCTGAGGGGGGCACACTAAGGGTACGTCTCCACTACAGGACAAAGGCGAATTAAGATACACAACGTCGGCTATATGAATTGCATAGCTGAAGTCGAAGTAGCTTAACTCAGCTTTAGGCGCTGTCCGCACTGCAGGAAGTCGAAGGAAGAACACTCTCCCTTTGACTTCCCTTCCTCCTCACGAAAGCAGGGTTATCGGCATCGACCCACTTCAAATTATCTGTCTTAACTAGACCGCTAACTGCAGATGATGTGGGACAGGTGATGTGGGAAAAGCTGAAGTACTCAATGCTTTCTTTGCCTCTGTCTTCATGGACAAGGTCAGCTCCCAGACTAATGCGCTAGGCAATTCAGTATGGGAAGGAGGTGGACAGCCCTTGGTGGGGAAGGAACAAGTTAGGAACTATGTAGTAAAGCCAAACATACACAAATCCATGGGTCTGGATTTAATGCATCCAAGGGTACTGAGGGAGTTGGCAGATGTAATTGTGGAGCCTTTGGCCATTATCTTTGAAAACTCATGGAGATCAGCAGAAATCCCAGATGACTGGAAAAAGGCAAATGTAGTGCCCATCTTTAAAAAAGGAAGGAGGACAATCCAGGGAACTACAGACCAGTCAGCCTTACCTCAGTCCTCAGAAAAATCTCAGAGGGGATCCTCAAGGAATCCATTTTGAAGCACTTGGAAGGAGGGGAAAGTGATCAGGAATAATCAACATGGATTCACGAAGGGAAGTCGTGCCTGACCAATCTGATTAGCTTCCATGATGTGGTAACTGGCTCTGTGGATACGGGAAAGTCAGTGGATGTGATATATCTGGACTTTAGCAAGGCTTTTGATAGGGTCTCCCACAATATTCTTGCCAGCAAGTTAAGGGAATATGGATTGGATACATGGACTGTAAGATGGATAGAAAGCTGGCTAGACTGTCGGGCCCAACAGGTAGTGATTAACGGCTCGATGTCAGGTTGGTGGTCGGTTTCTAGCGGAGTGCCCCAAGAATCTGTTCTTGGACTGGTTTTGTTCAACATCTTGATTAATGACCTGGATGAGGGGATGGATTGCACTTTCAGCAAGTTTGCAGATGGCACTAAGCTAGGGGGAGAGGTAGATACACTGGAGGGCAGGGATAGGGTCC